ATCATTGAAGAAAATATATAATGCCTAAAATATCGAATCTTACCGAATGATTACAATAAAAATACGGATTAAATCCGTGTGCAATTTTCCACACCACCTTAGCTATCGAAAAACGTCAATGAAATATTACGAGTATTTGACGTTGTTCGTAAAGCTTATGAGGTTTTGCACGAGGCGCGTTTTTTTTATAGTGGTATCCCCGAGTAGGCCTAATCCACTGTATCGATTAACCTAAACTTACCTTGAATCCATAATATTACACTCTATAATATAATACGATCACCGAATCACGATTCTCGTTCCTTGAAGTCATCCGCAGCTACCAGCAGTCTTGGCTCGAAGAGTTCGCGTGCAAATAAACCGGGAAAAAATTATAAAGGAAAAAAAAGCTTTACAAAAAGATAGAAAAAAAAAACACTACTATTAAACGGATGAATAAAACTTAATAAACTATTGAAAAAGTTTAAAGAAATGTTTATAAACCAATTAAGAAAAATGAAAATTTAAAAACGACAATGAATAAAACATATTTAAGAAATATGATTTACTACGATTCGATTGAATACGCGTACAATAAACAAAATTAATATTATTACCAACATTATTAGCCAGCACGTGGTTTTGCGATATTTACGATCGTTCAAATAAACAAATAGTATTAATCAGTAAGCACACCTACAATTTTTGTTATTTTGGTACTAATAGTGCAACCGATTCGTGTTTTCAGTGAGGTAAGGTAAATACCTCAAATAATATCCGTATGCAATTTATTATTTTACGATTGATCGATTTTCATAAAAACCTGAACTTCAAACGTACATAAAAATAAAAAGACTGACATACTTCGCATGTAAGTGCAGTCACTGTTGTAGGCGAAAATTTGAGAAGTTATGATACACACGGGAATGTATATCTGTAGACTGTAAGCAACGATAAACCATTGCTAACGAAAAAACGATTCTGAGCGTAGTTCAGTTGATAGTGTTGCTTTGACAAAAATATATATGTCATATGTAAAATAATTACATATATATTAAACATATTCTTTAATAATATTTATTTAATATTGTATCTATTTTTCAGTTCTTCGGTTTTACCTCCGTTTTTTCCAAAATATTTAGAAAATCAAAAAAAAAAACTTGTTTAAAGTACCTTTCCAGTTAGATTTCCTTTAAGAAAAAGTGCTATACTTAAAATACGAAGCAAGATCTCTGGTAGAAAAGTCATGCACAGAAAAAAAAAACAAACCACCTATTCCACCTATTTAGACATACTTGGCAATTCTAAACATAAAACAAAGCCGTACTCGTGAACATTATTTAGAAAAAATAATTGACAATTTCGCTTGTGCTAAAGCCAAGAAAAAAAAATTGTTGTATCAAAATGATTATGATGTATGTGTCTTTAATCTTTATACAACATCATTATTAAAGATTGTTAATTATACTCGTATTATTACTATTATTAGTTATTAGCAATAATAAACATAAGTTCGTAAAAACTAATAAGCTATTAGTATTATTACGAATTTATAGATATATGCATAAATCATTATTTTTATTCATTCTGTAATCGATATAAAAAAAAAAAAAATTGACAATGTGTTATATTTAATAATAAATATTGTTTTTGTTTTGTCTTTTTGTTTTTTTTGTTTTTTTTTTTTTTGTATAGTATGTACACGATTTTATTTCGATTGAGTATTATTGGGAAATAATGGGCCCATCTAATTACTACACGACTGTGCCACTGATGGTTATATGTACCTGACCTACACGCTTATATATTCCTCAATCAATATTTTCGTTGGAGGCGGGCGATTTAACGAAATGCACGTATATAAACGTCGAATAAGTTATTTACAACGAATTTGCTAACAAACTAAAGAAGAACAATTTATATTGAGTATAAATGTATGGGTGTTTATTACGAACTTATTGGGCGGCGTAAGCACTCGCCGAGAGGAGGTAACAACCGCAAAAGTGCTTTGTGCGCATAAAAAAAAAAAATACTCTTCGTTATATTATAAAAGTTTACGGAACGAAATCTTTCCCCCAGTAGTAAAACCGCATACCCATTTTCACGCGGTATTAAACGGACTTTTTTTTTCTCCCTTCCGCGATTGTTTCATCGAATTTCCGTAAATGTTTATGTTTGAACAATGCCATATGTGTGCATATCGGTTAGTAATATTATTATACTACTCACACACACGCGAAAAATTACGTCCAGAGATCTAACGCTCAATCACCGCGGGCTCGAACTTAAACATATAATATTGTAGAAGCCAAAAATGGACAAAATGAGAATAGAGAATGTATTATTTATTTTCTTTTTAGATTCTAAGCGCAGCGAGGAATCTATTGGCTTCACTATGATATGTGCGGCTTTTTTTCTATTAATAGCACTAGCTTCAGTCGAAAAATGACAAAAGATCTTTTTGTAGCATTTAGAATCTTGTCGGTATAGTAAATTACACCGTGTCGTTTTTTTAGCTTTGTATTCTTGTATTCCTATACAGGCTCCTCAAATATCCAGTGGAATAAAATTTGGCGTATGCATAGTATCAATAGGTTGTGCCTTTGAAGGTTGTAAATTCCAATCCACTCCTCTGCACCATTTATTTACTTGCCTTAAAAGTTTTCACGGAGAAAATACTTTTTAATATTTTTATAGACCGAAATTTAATAAAACTATGGCAACTATAACTATTTTAGTTCAGTTAGAAAAAAAATGTTTAAATATTGTAACGTCAGCAAAGAAAAATTTGACACATGTAACCCTTTGTTGCTCATGAGTGTTTTTTTACACGTTTTTACACGAGCATTATATTATGGATAAAATGAGAAAATAACCGAAAGTGTGATTGCTAAAGAATAGCTTATGTTTCATAGTGATATTTTTATGTCGGCGGGCTAACTATTCACATAGGTATATAAAATACTTCAAATATTTGACAAAGCGCGTTAATTGACGAAAAATGGAATTTTGAGTTCATGATAAATACACCGACTGCACTCATTAACGTGGCCGGTAACAATGTTATTCTTTTTTATTGTCTGTGTCTTTCAACTAATTTACATTTTTGTAGATAACCGATTTCAGTATGTGGCAAGTAAAAGTAGGTGATACTCGTACAAAAAAAAAATAATTAATTCGATCGAGAAATGACAATAGTATAGTATAGTTATATAGTTACTATTAGTTACAATAGTATAGTTTGTCCAAACCAAAAAAATGCAGACATACAATATAATTTAAATTACCTGTCTGGTACGCGTATATGTATAGACTATTCCGCCGAGCGCATTATAAAACCATTATTTGGTCGTTATAGCACCATTGGCTATTAGATGTTTTTCATGGGCATGGTAAGTGCGCACTATTCATTTGTTTTTATGATTAAAAAGTGCATAATATGGGGTACGTTTGGAAATACGGTTAGGTTATACAATTATAATATAAATATTTATACAAAATATTAGGTTTTATTTCTATTTATTTATTTTTTTGATAGTGCCATAAAGTTAAGATAATATTCACTATACGTATTTATTTTATGTTATCAAATATTATTTTTTTAATGTTCAAATGTAATATTTTATGAATTTAAAGTTTTGCCTGCCACGTCACGTTACATATAACTTCCACTTTTATGAGTTATAAAGGATATCGAAAATTTGTATAGCCTGGATAGAAATAAACAAATTAAAGAAAATAGGGCATATGACGCTAAAATTAAATTTAAGAAAACTTCTTTTGGACATAGATTTGTGAACTATCTTGGTCCAAAATTGTTTAATGAACTAAATGAAGTCAAACAAATAATTCTAAATCCAAAATGTGCGAAATATTTAACAAAGCATCGGTCTTTTCTAAGTATAAAATAAGTTTTCTATTTTTTATTTTCTTTCTACGTATTTTGTCATTTATTTTAAATTTAGTCTCAAAAATGTTTTAATTTGGTAATTTTAGTAACTTAATTGAAAAATGTATTGCTGTATTAATGTATTTATTTAAGTAAATACAACTAATTGAATCTTATTAAGTTTAGTTTATTTTAATTGTAGTATTTTATTTTAAATTAGATTAAGCTTCTATTATCATAATCTAAATGTTATCTAAAATAATTGTTTGTACATTCTGCTAATTTTTTTTTCGTGTAACAAATTATTTATAATATTCTGTAATCACAACACCTAAATTCACCACAAGCGTGCTTATAGAAGGTAGGTATTAAATCTAAGTGAGAATTGTATATTCTACGTTTAATCCATGTATTTATTATATTGCATCGTATCTACTTACTTGTGTACATATTTTTTTTCTTTGATTTGATTATAATAATAAAAAAAATAACAATTATAATAAGATAACAATATAGTTGCATGATATAAATTACAATGTATTAGCATATTAATATCTAAGGTGTGGATTGTAATGCAAATCGCATTTTTTTCTGAATGTACTAATAAAGCAATGCTTTCCAAGCACTAAGTTTCATATTTCAAAATATTATATCATGAAACTTTTATTGTTAGAGTATTTTTTGACACACTTAAAGTGCATTTTTAAGTTTTCAGGGCATTTTTCAAGGCTAATTTTTACAAACTTCATAGTGTTATCAGGAAATACGATAAATTTTTGATTTCCTCCTTAAAGAAAATAAAATCATATTTCTATTTTTAAAATGTATTATGGAATTACAAATTATGCAACAAAGAAAACGATAAGCTATTTATCGAAGTCTTAATGTAGTCGTATTTGCACTGTAGTGTTTAGTAAATGTATACACTTAATAAAAAACAATTTTTTTTCCTTGTTCATAATAATTTTTAGGGCAAATTTTAACCTTTTTTTCTTACGTATGTTTTTATTAAATTGTATTTTTTTTTGAGTCATTTTTCTTATGTTTTAAAGCATTTGAATCGGCGCTCTATTAATATCATTACAATTTGACCGGATAATTTAGGAATGTAAAGCGTGTGGTAAAAAAAAAACAATTGTATTCTGTTGCATTGGTAATCGACTGTATTTATAAAATACCGAACAATTCTTATAATACACGTGTGCTAGAAGAAAAATACAAAATATTAAATAATTGTAAAATATAACAAACGAGTTTTTAACACGACAAATAATTTAAATATCATATAATAATAATAATAATAATAATAATAATAAAAACACATATTGAGCAGTCAAACATCATAATCGTAAATCGTGTGCACATCCGTGGTTCATTCTGTATTCGATGTACAGGATGCCAGTGTTATGCCAGTAATACAAAGCGAGTACGACTAAGAAATGCCACCATTGATGCGACGATCCAATATAATCTACCTTACCTGAAAAAAAAAGAAAATACGAATCGTGTAAAGACAATATTTTAAACGAAACAAGTTTTTCCATTTTCCCGGCTCTGATATGTTTAGGGGATTAATCTGCCCATCCCGCCTTTCTTTATTCCCTCTTCCTGTACACATTACCACTAACCACCTGCTTCTTAAATCCTCATATATACGTATTCCAGACCCTTCGGGTTTTTGGACTAGCCGTACTTAGATCGAGTAATTATTTTTTCTTAATAATACATAAACTCATGTGCGTGACAACTAAGAAAACTATTACATTGTTTTCATTGGTCTGTTTTATTTTTAATACCTAAGAGACACGATCATTTTTTTGGGTTTGGGAAGTAATAATGGCCCTCCTCCGAAATTTGAAATTCTACGAATTCTACGAATCCTACGAAATAATTTGTGTATTTGCTTATATCAAATATTAAATTAACAGTATTTCTTAAAAACTAGAATTATGTAACAAATTTATGTTGTGTGTCCTAGATCTATTGTGTAGCATAAGCATATTTGCATAAGCTACACTACTTAATTGTGTAGTGAATAAGCTATACTTTTTTTTTCGGAAAAAACAAATATTTGTATTAACAAGTATACCCCGAATTTTTCAGATCATTCTTTAAAATATATGAATTTTTTGCTCTACGGTACTTTTTTTTGAAACAATTTTTTAGATTCCCAATAGACTATCTAAACAATTTTTCTTTCGTTGAATCTTGATCGCATGGAAAAAAAAAAATTTTTTTTTTACGCAGTATCTTACCTGATAAGACATTTTTGTACAATAATTCTTTATTTGAAACAGTTCACCTCATATATCTTTTTTTTTATTTCTGGAATACTTGGCAACAACGGAAAAAACACGACTACATTACTAACGTAACGAGAAGCATTTTTCGTTTGCAATAATTTATACATACAGTATACAAACTAAATTACCCTGTATATCCCATACTTTCCTAACTACCCATCAGCAACAATGAAATACTCGTGAGCAGCCCAAATTGTTTAAATCTATAACCCCCCCCCTCCCAAAAAAAAAAAAAATAAAAAATAAATCCTGGTTGCACTACTGCTTATATACTTTATTATAAAATAATTTTATGTTGTTAATATATGGATGCAATATATCCTTCAAATCGATTACTCCCCAGCTACTAGTGTATTGGAATAATAATTTATATACAAATAAATTACGTAAAAACTGTATGTGTCCCTCAAACCAGAGTTTTGTTAAGTAAATAATAACACTTATCACAACACAGATCGCATTGGAAACGCGACAATATTCATTGAACGTATGATTAAATAAATCACACGTTTGAAATAAACAATACTGGTTGTACGTGATTTCCATCAACATATAACACAGTTTTGCAACGTGCAGATTTCGTCATGTAATTTCCAGAATTCTTACCACTTCAAAAACATGTTAAAAGTAAAATAAGACAATTCTCTAAAAAAAACAAAACCTAATAATTGGCCTACAGTTAGAGATGGGAATTTAAAAAATTACGAATTTGGAAAAAAATTGAAAATTATATCATTGGATACAGTATAAATAAGATATCATAACCTCAATCTAAATAAGAACTACGATTGTATTATATATTTTATTTTTAAATGTAAGTATGTAGTAAGTACATTCAATGTCGTGATTTTTTATAGTAACAAACACAATATTTACCTTTGAAAAACCGTTCTGGCATTCTAGTAATGTAAATTAGAAACGCCATTCCAGAAATGAGGTACATATTTATTATTCTTGAAAACAATTTCTGAAAAAATATAAATAAAAAGAAAAAATTAGCTCGGGATTCGACTGAACAAATAATGTAATTATAGAATTTTGTTTTAATACGTGCCATTAATAAACTTTTAAAAATATTATCACAGCACAATGCGTACGTACATTACAAATATATTTGTAACAATAAAAAAAAAGTAATGACGTGATACGAAATAAACCTACTATTTATTTACATATTTTATTATTTATTTTTCATGTAAAATTTTATTGTTATTTCTATTATTTTTAAATTATGATTTAACATCGTTTATTATACAATATTTTGTAACTATTGGACACAATTTTAAAAAATGTCGATAACGCACAATTTTTTTATACGGTAAATGGCATGTGAAGAGGGGGAGGAGTTAGAAGTTATATCCCCCATTGGCTTAAAATACAAAAAAATATGAGTAATCTAATGTCAAAATGCATATATTTTAGCCAAGTTACGAGAAAAAACTTGACATATTGATTAGAAATTGGCCTTTTTTAGGATCCGGATTTTAAATTACTAATTCCCACAGTTAATTTGGGTAGAAAAGACCAATTTATGATTTATTTATGATTTTTGTTTAGATCTTCTCCTATTGATAATTCCTGGGCACGCCGTTGTTTACGGTATAACTATGGTAACTTAGTAACTACAGTACTTTTTCAGAAATAAATACATTTTTTCTGTCTTAGTAAATCATCTATTATACTTTTCACTATTAATACAGAAATTTAAAGTAGTTTTCTGTTAGTTAATAGTACAAGACTAAGTCAGTAATTATTTCAAATTTAGACAAATTCGATAGTTTGTATATTTTTGCTGAGCATTCGAATGTATAGATAATAGTGCTCTATGTGTTTGCAATATTTTCGATCTCATTAATGAATTATTTTTTAAGACTATAGTGTTTCGACATAATCATTTCAAAAAAAAAATTTTTTTTTATAAATTATTCATGACATTAACGACTATACCTATATTACTATAGTTATTATAAATATATATATATATACGAGTATATGTGTACCGACCTCTGTGTTTAACATAATACACTATAATATAATACTATAACAATAGTAATTAAAATATATTAAAATTCATTATGAATTTATACTTGAATACTGCGGCGTGCAATTACGGTTTCGTAGTTCGTTTGATTTAGATAATGAAATACAGTGGCAAAACGAATGCAGACTTTGAGAAGCGGTTTTTTCTCGATCTTTTTAAGATTTAGGGGTAGATGAGTACTCGATGTGAAAATAACTAAATATAATGGATTCTGCTTAATTTGGACATGTTGAGACCAGTTACATTTATCCATATTAAGCGATTGACCATTTAACCAAAGTAGGTTAAAATAGGTGAAAACATAAGGATGTATTGGGAAATATTGGTGGACGGATATTGGATAGGTCATAGGTTGCTTTTAGGTTATTTTAAGTTCGTTTCGCTATTGATGAAAAAGGTCAATAATGAACAGTGCCCTAGTACTGTCCATATAACATTTCTATATTCTCGAAACGGTTGCAGTCGGAAAACTTCCAATTGTAGCATCCGTTTGATTTAATTCCGTTCTGGTTAGTGATTAACAACAATATTATCGTGTTTGACTATTCGTATCAACATATTGTATTCACTTACTGCAACTATTGGATTTTCCCATCCTCCCATTATGCTGACCCAATGGCATGTCGGTATCACTCCGTATGCTGCCCAACACACAAATGAGATCATTTTCAAATTGTCGCTGGCTTTCAGTTTTGGTATTTGCAACGCCATGACGACCACAAATATAAAGAATACGGTAGACAAATAAAACGCTTGATGTATCTGAAAAATATATCGCGCCATTTTCATTTATTTCAAATGTGCCAAACACATTATGACGTGTATTTTATTTTATAAAAATAAAATACCAACTATACCACATTATAAATGGCTTAGTTCGATGACGTATACAGGGCGAATAGTTGTGTTTTCCGGTTACCACGTACCTACTTTATTTAATTGGTAGGTAGGCAAAAAGAAAAACACGGTAGCACACCCTGTATAATATGTTCACTTACGGAATGACACCAAAAAGCGTAATATATTCCCGACAAATAGATGGCCAGCAAGCTCAACGCTATTCCAAACAAGTCGAACGACAAAAAACAGTTAAAGTGTTTCTCGGATTTGCACGAAAACGTGTGATACATAGCCGACGAAGCCATACTAATCTAAAAAATACAATTAAAAAAAACACAATTAATATTTTAATGAATCTAATTTTCAGTAGACGATATATTTTAAATATTATCTAGTACATGTTCTATATTAATGGTTTTCAGGTTCTCAACGGAGGCGATAACGTCCCCCGAGGGCTTTAGGAGGATATTAAGAGACGATATACTTATTTTGGGTAGTGTAGGGCGTTGAATAATTTTTAAACAGTAAAGGGGCAACGAGCGTATTTTCGCTTAAAATGAGTAATTTTGTATGCTTCATTCATGAAACAACATAAAGTCCTTTTTGGTTATTCGTTCATTTTAGTTTTCTTCAATAAAGACAAATGTTTAAGGGTATTATTATTATTTTTTTTTTTTTTTATTCATCATTTTAGTTTTTTTTCTTTCAATTTTATAATTCAACATTCTCTCCCTTCTTAACCCTCAATTACGAGATTTCCACTGGGGAGGCGTTGAACAATCGTTTTCTTATCAAGAGGACGGTGACTTTAAAAAGGTTGAAAAACATTGTTCTATATATTTTCTATATAATTATCGTTTTTTTTTTGTATGCACAAACATTAATTGAAAATCAGGTGGATTATATGTAATGATTTCAAAAATAGAATATATTCGTAAATTATGTATAACAATATACCAAACACTACATAGTATATTTCACTTATAAATAAAATTACGCATAAAATCAATGTATGTATCGACCTAAAATACAGTATTTGGCAATTGAAAACAACATCTCAAGGAAACGAACACATTTTGATCACTACGATTAGGTGATATTTTCTAAAACTATTTTATGGAATGAATACCTGGAAACACCCTAGTAGTAGACCCATGACGAGTTTATCGAACGACGAAGCATGAATATTTAACAAAATTAAGTCATAAATTGTTAGGCCGAAAAACAGCATCCAGCCGAATACGTGTGACCAGATATTTATGGTTTCGTTTGTCAGCCAAAAAGCACTGAAACAAAACAAAAAATTACAAATAATTTGATCGTGATTTTTATTTAACATTGATGAGGTTAATAAATAAATAACCTATCGGTATATTATATTATAGTATATATAGTTTATGTCTCACAATGCCAACCTTGCCACGAATATATTAGGTACTTACCTATGATAATTATAATTTATATTAATGAATATAATAATAAATAATAACAGTGCATACAGTAAAGCGAGTGTCGGTGTTTAAGCAACTTGTCGGTTTTTTTTTTCTTGAAGCGTTATAAAAAAATGCAAACAATCTGAATAGCTCGTTTATTTCATAGCCCATTGGCAAATAGAATTGTACGGAAAAATATCAAAAGAGTTACAGACTATACCGAAAATCGATAGCATTATATTTATACCGATCGCATATACCCATTTTCCTAATTGTATATTGGTAATAGGTTTTTATGGATATACTGACATTATTCAGGAAATAGTTTTACAATATATTATACTTTTCTATTTTAATACGTATATACTTATTTTTTTTTTATATATATATAAAGACAAATATAGATGCAATTTCAAACAAAGCTCAAATTTACAACGCATTTCACACCTATATTATAGGTATTTATTTTAAACGAAACGATAGAATATTAACCATGAAATTATTTTAGATGTGATAAATTGATAATAAAATTGATAATTCTATTTAAAAGACCTTCATTAATATTTTTTTTTTCGTGATTAATTATCCACGATTCACGATTTGAAAATTATTTTTAAATGTACATAAAAAACGTATTCAAGGTACTTAATTCAATCATGACTCGATAGAATGATAAGATGCGTCTTTTTTTATTACCTATACCACCTTTTTATACCTTTAATATAGCCTGATGGAAAATAATGTACACACGTAAATAATTATTGTTAAAAACAATATAAAACTTAATAATACCTTTCGTACGTCATACGTCATACCTTTCAATGCACATTTTTGTAGATAGACTAGCTCTGTAACCGGATAGAATAAATGGATTTGACTGTAAATGTGGTTCAACTTCATGGTATTGTAATAACGATAATTCTTTTGCACTTCTTGTTATCAATGGATCTTTCGATTTCTTTATGAATTCTTTATGGTCCTGTAAAAATAAAAATATAAATTGCTATAGTAAATTTTATGAATAATAAATTATATTATCCCAGTGGTTCCTAAACTTAATCATCCATAAAAAAAATATATATTACATAAATTCAAATAATATTATACCAATCCATCATAAATATCAATAACGATATCATAAATCTGTAAAATTTTCAGAAGACTAGGATAAAGACACCATGCCAGTTTAAGCAATATAATAAATTCAGAAATTTATTAAAACTCTAAAAATAAACCTATGATCTTATATTTGATCTTAAAATTTATTTTCTTCTCTATATAATGGTGCAGTTTTAAATAGAAAATTTTGAATTTGTCATAATAAAATCGTATCATATCTATTATTAGAAAAAATAGATCGTCTCGAATATGTTACAAATAAATGTTGATAATTTTAATGTTTAATTTGAGTTATGATTTCTTATATGATTAGGTCTATCATAGGAACTCTTAAAATTTATGTTTTTTTAAAATTATTGTTAAATACTATAGTAAAATTGATCCCAAATTCAGATTTTCAGAGGCTCCGGAGCAAAACATTGCAACGAAGCTCTCAAAAAAAATAATACAAAGATGATCAAGAAGACCGCAAAATAAATCAAAAAATGATGAACTAGAAAAGATTTCAGAAAATATGCTACATCGGAGCATAATTTTTGGTACCTAAGTTGTTAATAGACATAAAACATCAGTAAAATCAAATGAAATTGTTTTACTACATAATAGTTTCCACTATAACTATAAACTATAAAGTCAGGTAGATTACGAAAAACTATTATAAGTATAAAATGTCGAAATACAAAGTTCATAACTAAATGCATAGATAAAGCACACACTCTGACAAAAATTGAGCTCTTGGAGTCTTGTGCATCGGGAGCCATTGCCCCCTGGCTCCCCTTTAAATCTCAATCCGGGCATGGTATCATTCCCCTAGTGTCTTTACCCTATAATTAATATGAATTTCAGTATTTTAATACTTAAAAGTTTGAATTTCAGTATTTTAATACTTAAAAGTTTATAATAGTATAAATAAACTTAACCGTTTATCTATACTTATTTTAATACTTAAAAGTTTATAATAGTATAAATAAACTTAACCGTTTATCTATACTTTTTAAATATTGTTTAATTATTAAATTATTCTAATATAAAATATAATTTATATCTTCATATTATATGTATTATACAATTGTTAAATTTTAAGTGTAAAAATCATTATATCACTATACGAAGAAAGTCTGTTTTAGGGGAAAGCGGGACGTTTATTATATTTTATTAATTGTTTTCGTTGTCATCACACACAGCGTTTCGTTTAAAATCGCGCGCTCGCACGCTGGGTCAGAACATCGCGTAAGCTTCGAAATAAAAAAAAAAAATTAACTACATATCTAATCATAATATTATTACTATTATACATGACGATGGAATATAATAAGAGACGACGAGATATAATAATAATAATAATATTATTATTATTATTATTATTATTATTATTATTATTACTGTTATTATTATGTATACGCGTATAGTGTTATAATAGTTTAATATCGTATAATAATCGCGTGACGTGTATAACGTAATACGAACTCTAAGACTTTAGATTGTGTTATAATAACACTATGGTCCCAGGAAAGGAGTGCTTATGTCAATTTTTAGCAATTTGTTATGCATATAACTTTTCTTTATGTAATTTCGTTTCCCCGTGTTTTTTTTTTTTTTGGTTCTAATAGGCATAGGCACAACTAGACCACCAACTTTGGAGGTGCTAAAATGATAGGCACATCACAGACCCATGGGAACAATGCTCCCACAGTCCCCTTTGCACGACGCTTACAATAAACAACTACACATTTCATTTACAATTCTGTATGCAAAAATATAAGTCTCATAACTGTTTTAACTTAATTTTTCATACACACGTGCATTGTCTGCAGGTAATCTGCCAATTAGTTAAGGAATACATGGATAAAATATTTAATCCATACTATAAAAATGCTTATTAGATATTTTTTTGGGTGCTGATTTTAAACTCGAGGGTGCTAAATATGCCCTTGTCATGCCCCCCCCCCCTAGTTGCGCTTACGCTATTGCTTAAAAGCGCGTGTATATATTCTAACGTACTATGTAATACTGAAACAAATTAAAATATAATATTAACAGTTCATAATGTACTTTTTGTTTGGCCAATAAGACGGATATAGACCGTTTCGAACGGCATATTTTGATAAGGCGATTTAGCGAATATTATGCCATTACGCCATTGAGCAATTTCAAAGTTTAATAACATGCTCGCACTGAAAACTATACGAAATTGACATAAGCCGTTCTTCCCCGGAATCAAAGAATAATTTGATTAATTTGTATTTTTTTTTTTTTTTTTTTGACGCAGAGACGCACTGCGGCGTGCGAATTTTCGACAAATTAGCGACTCGCCCGGATACGAACGAGCGATGAGGAAACGCCGCGTTCGAAAACCCGACGAGAATAATAATCGTTTGCTATTATCGCTTCGTCGGCGACTCTGTTGAATTAACGGAAACCGGTATATTTCACACTTGAACTTGACTGGAAAACACGATCATCACTGCAGTGTGTTCTTTAAGAAAAAAAAAAAAAAAGCTTTGTTTATATTATTACTATACTACTGGTCATAGTATTAACGACGGTTATTCGCATTACTCGTACGTCGCTAATTAATATGATACGCGGCGAGACGGTACCTGCGCTGTATTGCAGGTACACACGGACACGTGGAAATGGCACAAGGTGTTTGAAATGCTCCGGTCATTTCCGCGTCTGTGCGCAGGTACATAATATTGCTCGTGTTATTATTGTTTGGTCGTCACGTCGCTGAGGTCGGGCGCATAGTCTCACGTAAACTTGTTAATTAAATTGTTTCGCGCGAGTGCCATTACGTGCCGAGACCCGCAGCGGGTTCGCTCGCGTATACTATTATTACGATTTATAATCATATACCACCGGGCGCCTGAAATGTTACCACGGCGTGTGTGTCGGCATATTTTCGTCATGCGAAACGCGTAAATCTGCTGCAGGCATGGTTTGGTCAGGTTAGGTTATGCGCTGCTGGATAGTATGCTCAATGTACGCGTCACCTGCGAACGTTCTTTTTTTTTTTTTTTTTTTTTTTAATTTCCGGGTCTATCGATACTTGCATGGACAATACGGGGCGTCTGCCTCCTCCCCCGGACTTCAAAAATTTCAAATACGGTTTGATTTTATTATGCGGCAGCCCCCGATATTAAATTTGGGTAAATTAATGAAATTCGCCTGTATAGATAAACATAAAAAAAAAAAATAAAAAGGTCATTCCTATAATTTTAGTAATGCCCCCCCCTAGAATTAAACACTGCCCCCCTGATAAATTTCCTGCGGGCACCCCCCAAGGATACTTGTTATGTTTTTTTTTTTCATTCGTCGTGTTTCAGTAAGACGGTTTCGGCTCGACTGTGCCGGCATAAAGCATTTAATACTTAGTAAAACGAACAATATTCGTGCGCGTAGACGTAAATAGTTTGAAAATACACAGAGCTTGAGTACACTAGGTGTTTCAGACCTGTTATAAATGTCTAAGTTAATTCAAAGACTATAGGTGTGGTTTGAGATGGCTCAGGGATGGCTAAGCCCTCCCTTTTTATTTACGTCTATGCGAGTGCGTATAAATACATACAGGAATTCAGATTATATTATACTACAGGCATCTGCAAAGTAGGTACCTATCTACATGAAAAAATCATCAAGATTCTGCATGTGAGTTTGAAATTAGTGAAGTCATTCGAGTAATTTTTAATTTTGGAATTATTTTACCGAAGAGTTTTTTTTTCGAGAATAAACATAGTATAGGTAAAATGCGAAAAGCAAAATTGTGTAATGCGTTTATTAATTTGTATCGCATACCTATATATTAAATAGGTACCTACTTGTCGAGCCTATAAACTTTATTATAACGTAATTTTTTGGGGGCCAAAACACTGGCTTGCAATGGCACAAAAAATCGTAGTACAAAATATTATTTTAATAATATTATATTTCCGAACGACAGCGTATTATTAGACAATTATTACAGGATAATAATAATATTATTGTTAATCCTGTACCGCGGTATATATTTTAACACACGATTTATTCGAGATTTCTGTTTTTTTTTTTCACTATTTTTAGTTTCGATTTGTTAATATTTCGGTGTTTGTTTTGACGAGTATCACGTACGGCGAATGTGACGCAAAACACTATATACACGTTTGCATTTGAAATATTGTTCAATATAATGTATTGTATTCTATACACGGTCGGCATTGAAACCTCCAAATGCATTGGATTTTTTTTTTCAGACATAGAGTACACAATAGTTTACTATACATGTTCGGAACAAAATAGACACACTGTTTTGTATTAGAACGGTATGGAACGATGGCCAAGGAAAAGAATTTAAAACAATGTATAATAATATATCACAACTATAATACTTCGGCGGTGTTTATACGAAAGGGCCCAAACGACACTTAGGGGCTAAGCGACAATGTATTATAGTGGGAAGGCATAGATGCATCGTCTGGTCTAACTCTTACTTCAACGTGACCATTTTACATAACAAACAAACAATGTTAATTTAATGTATACACCGTATGCAATCGTTTCAAACTAAAAGCGATTTCGAACGAAGTAGTATATTGGTCGTGTTTTCCCCTTTTTGCCAAGAGAATCCATGCATTTAATGAAAACGTATTACGAATGTCGAAAAATGTTTCAAAGAAAGTATACCATCAAACAAATTATCCGCATCATATATGAGTATATGGCATAAAAAAATCGAAGCAACAAAAACACACATATCTTAGTATAAAACTAATAAGTTCTCGGTACACTCAGCATTTAAAAAATAGTTGTATAATGATAAACAATTATTCTTTTCTAAAGATAAATAAAATAAAATAGTATATTCTACTATAATACCTAAACAGATGAATGTAAGATCATTTTGCGAATGTATAATATCCAATAACATTATTTTAGATTCGTTTTTACTATTTGCCTATCATAATAGACGTCAGCTTTAATTTTTATACATACATAAATTTAACTAAACAATTATTATTATTATTATTATTAATTTTAAATTCATATTATAATATAGTCATCTAGTTATTGAATACTGTACGACTATAATAATTGTATTTAGCTAACCCGATTCATATTTTATTTTTATTTCTTAATAAGTTTTTATGGTAATCGACGAACTATCTTTAATAATGTTAAAAAATACACACATATTTTTTTTTTTTTTTTTACATATTCCTATATAAATATTCACGAGTATTTAATACTTGTACATAATAATTAGGTACACCAATTCAATTTTTAATTCAAATTGTATTAGTTGTTAATTTAGTCCCATGCAGTGGATGGAACTAAAACAATTGAGCATTCTAATTTATACAAAAATATGTATAAGTAGATATACATGTTAAAAATTTGACTACATTAGTTTAATTTATATCATTATTTATTATTAGGGTTTGGATTTCAATACATTTTGCATTCTTTTCCAAAACACTTGGGCATTGCTCGTTTAGAATTAAGAATTTGTTTCGAGTATTTTTGCATAAGAATAAGAAATTTTATTTTGTATTTTTGGATAGTTATTGATTTTTAAATCGTTTTCTTAAATTTTTTAGATCATTTAAGAATTATTTGAACATTACATTTTAAGATATAACTTAAGACAATACATTTTCTGCCTTAATTTTTATATACAGTATAGCACTATACGAAAAAGCAGAAACAAGTTACTGTGTCTTTATACACTACGGTTTACACTAAAACCATAGCTGATATTATTCTGGTTGGCCTCCAGAATATTTCCTGAAGATAACCCGGAAAGATACAAAACCTACACGAGAATACTACTGCATGAAAAATTTCAAACCAACAATATGTTCCCAGTTATATTTTATTCAACTCAGATATCTATACGAGTTTTAAATATATTATTTACTATAAATAATTTCCTCGGAAGACCAATTGAATATTTTATTTTGTATTGTTTCGTTCGGTTTTTTTCATAATTCTGTATACCAACACATGTTATACATATATTATATTTTTGATCTTAACGAACAGGAGCTTAAGTCAGTTTTTTGGTTTTTGTTTTTTATAATTTTGATCTTAGTCATAAAAGTTTTTCTCCTTTATTTTTTTGATATATATGGCATATAATATGTATGTATTTCGTAAAATGTAAAATCCTAGGACCAAAGATATAAGTATTATACATTTAGGTACTTATATCAATTTTCAATATTCTGAATATTTAAATATGTATATATTAAAAAAAATTCAAAATAATTTTATCACATTTTTATATTTTCAATGTTTTGTTTATAGAGCACCCCATTCCAATTATAATGTCACAATCCATTTTTTTAATATACAGTCGCTAGATTTATGCAAATTAAATTAAAATTTTTATATAAATTATTAAATAATATGATTGATTGTCCGGAATTACTACAAAATATAAATTTTAAAATAAATCCGATAAACTACCGATCTTTTAATTTATTCTACACAAAACATTCAACTATAAATTATATGCTAAATTCTCCATCTAATATTTTAATGTCTGCGGGTAATTCTATAGGGAACAATATTGATTTTTTTGTAAACCTTTGAATATTTTTATGGCAAATGTTTTCAGAAATACATAACAAATTACTAGAAGCATAATGATTGTCTCACAAAGTGAAATAAAAACACTTTGTTTTATACATTTATTATTATTTTTATCTTAAAATTTTAGATAATATACGTATGTAATATATTATTATGTATACATATAAGAAAAAAAAAACTGGACATTTATTTCTTTGATAAAAACAATATTATTATTATTATTATATTGTGTTTAACTACTAATATACGTTATTGTACAATATGATCAATTTTATAAGTAGGTGCACACGGTACACGCTTAAAGTGTAAATAGATTGATAACGATTCCAAAAATGACTGTAAAACAATACAGAAACGACATCATTATAATATAATATTATAAACTGAACTGATTTTATATGTTAATTACACGTATTATCTACTGTAAACGTACATAATCTAAATACATATCTATAGAACGTGTATTCAATAACAAAACGTAAAATGTACAGTTAATTGAACCGCGAGTAAAATTATTACAATCGAACGCAACAATACGTCATATTATTATATATATATATATGTACAGACGTATCTACATGTCTCTATTGTACATCTGTATAAATGAAATTGAACGAGAAAGTGTTTTGTACATTGTACGTGTATCAAACTCCGAACACCGAAAGTAAAATTAATTTTACCGCTCCAAGTCCAAAAGGTTTAATTTTACTTTTTACTTTGATTAGCTCTCCCCGTCAAAACAGTTGAGTACATTGTTAACGACGCGTCTGTATGGACTGTACGCATTGATTTTGAAGACGATAGTATTTTTCGATGTTAGTTTTTTTTTAAAAATATCGCTGCAGTATATACGATGTTATTATTATTCGACTGTATAAAATCGGTTAAAAGTTTGATATCGGAACATCGGGCGACCGGGGTTTATTCTCGTTCGATAAATTCGGCGAGAAAATTCAGTACAGAATTATATCGTATGGCGTGACTGCGTGAAACGCGTGAAAAGCCACGTGATCGATATTATTGATTGCGAAATGAAAACGTTTAAACAATCTTTTCATAAAACTTACCTACCGTTACATACTGACCAACGTACACCGTATCTATAGGATATTGAATCAATGGCGTAAATACCGGGTGAGCAAAGTGGGCAAACGCCAGGGACCCACAACAGATGATGGCCCTAGCAGGGCCCAAGGCATTATTGGTGAGGATCTTTTTATTTTACCGCGAGCATCGGAAGTTCTAGTTACGCCACTGTTGATAATAACATTGTTATTATAGGTACACTGCATGCAGCTTGCAGTTTAAGTTTTGTCTCGTCGTCTGACACCACTCGCGCATATAATATTACAACAACTGAAACGATTATTGTTTTCGTACATCATTACGTATGTGACGCGACGTACAACGTAATAATAATTGTTTTAAATGTTTTGTATACATTGCGCGATGATTTGTCTGAATACGGGCGTATTTGATTTCCGGGACGTGATTTTCAACTGTCGAAAAATAATATACGATATTACGACCATTATATACCGGCGCGTCTTCGTATTACCTAAACAAAAACCCCATCGTCATCGTCGCGGTCTCGATTATTGATGTTATTTATCAAAATCACAACAATAAAAAAACAACGCGTAACAACCGAAACACGATAATGTGTACACACGGCGAAGGTTATCTGATAGTTTCGCCGGTTTTGAAGTCCGTCATTGCGGCCGTGTGGCCGTAAACAATTTTGGTGATAATCGATATGTGCCGAAATCAATAAACGAAAAATTAACGATGTATTATTAAAACAGCGAGAACCAAACGAGGATTCAGGGACGGTCGAACGGATGAGGGGGGAGGGGGGGGGGGTTTAGAAGATAGCTCCCCCTCGTTGCCTGACTTTTTAAAAAAATATTTATAGTAGTGTATATTATATTGTGTAAATAATAATAACTCATAAAAATTATCCTTATCCCTCCCTCATGACAAAGTTATTTGACCGCTACCTGATACGGCAATAATAATAATTTGACCGCTACTGATACGGCTGTAGTAATTTGTAATATCACACCTACATATTTTAATATGTCTATACCTACCTTATTATATACTCGAATAATTCTGCACGGCCCCTTCGACACGCGTGTTATTAAACACGACCATACATGATTGCTATTCGTCGCCCTTCGGACGGCAAAACTATCGCGTAATTTACGAGAAATTATACGAATAACTATATTATTACGACGGTTTGCACGCGACCTGAGCCATTGCCCTGGGCCAGACATCACAGAAAAAAAAAAAAACAAAACCAGACTCGATATTTGTCCGACAGGTGCCCGTATGAAGTTCTCCTTCGACCACTTTTCGGGATAGCGACTATGATAATATAATAACCAGTGATGTATTGCTAAAATAACCCGTGAGTATACGCCTTATTCACGTATATAGAGATGTATGGAGAACTAAAGGTAGGGCCCGAAAAAAATTTTATCGCTTCGCTCGAAATCTTTTAAATTCTTAGTGGAACGAAAAAGCTTGTGGTTATAAGATATTAATTTATTATTTTTTTTTTTTTTTTTTTTATGCGCAACTTTTCTACCAGAAATTTTGCTCCGATTTACAATGATAACAATTTCTTCTGAAAAGAAATCGGACTGGGAGGTACTTTAGGGAGGTCATTTTTCGATTTCCTCGAGAGATTTCACTTTGAACTAACTGCGTTTTGCGACATTCTCAATAAGTAGTTTTCGCAGGTTTTTCCTAAATAAAAAAAAACCAACGATCGTATTAAAAACCGGATTCACTAAATCGGTTTTAAAATAAAAAAATGCTGAAAAGATATTGCTGCTTTCAGCATTTGAACGTATTATTTACAGTTTACAAGTGTGAGAAAGGGAATGGATGTATATTTGCCACTGTTGTTGGCGAGAAATCGAAGGCATATAACGGAGTTTTTCTCTCAATTATTAAAACAACTAAAAAATTTAAAAAAAAAATAATAATAACGTTGTTTACAGGCAGTAATAAAAGAAAAAAAACACATTGCAGTAAAACCGATACATTCCACGATGCGCTCAAAATCTAAAAATTAAATTAGCATAGCAAGGCGGCCGCGTACATATAGCATAAAATTCGAAAATTTACTACAACACGTGCAGTATACGAAAAAAAAATGCACGTGTATATTTTACACGTGTCGCACATATTTAATTATATTTTATATAATATCATGTGTCTAATATACTTATATACAGAATGATTCTTTTATCGCGAACCACCGAATATCTACGTGAAGATTTTAAGTAAATTTGTTTTCGGTTTTTCAACCATTATAATTAGAAGACGGATTTATATGTTCTTAAAAGCACTTGAAAACATTAAAAAGCCTTGAACAAAACAAAAAATCACTTAACAAATATATAAAATTCAAAAATAATAAAGGATTTTAATAGTCTTCTCTCTGGTGGACTTAATTATTATGAATACAATTTTCTAACACTGCAAAAATGATTATTAAAAAGTAATTTTTTTTTTTTATAATATGTAGGATTTTATTTAAAAGAAATCATTTTTGTGTTGTTCATTTTTGCAGTGTTCGGAAATTTAATTTATAATAACTTAGAACCATTAGAAGAGGACGTTAAAACCCCTCTATCGTTTTTACTTTTTAATATGTTTTTATGTGTTTTTTTCAGGGATTTTTTGTTGTTTTTAAGCGCTTTTTTTGGATTATAAAAGAATATAAATCAAATCCCTAATTATATAGTATTATAATATATATTAATATCATTTAATAGTCTAAAAAATTGTACGTCAAATTTCTCCAAAAAATCATCGCCCTGTATATAATTAGTATACACGGTTATCTTTACTCAACGGCGGTGTGGTTAAACCGGTCTGGTTCATTTACTATCGACCAGGACGAACGACAATAAAACAGATATGTCTAATACATACGGGACTAGAAAGCACACGATGCACTGCTGCAACAAGACGAACTAAAATATTATAAAGAACCTCATCTTGCACTATATTTTTTTAGAAAGCATATTAACACTGGACGAATTTTCATAACAATTATTTTAGTGCCTTTACTGCATCGACACCGCGTTAGGATAAGTACCTATATAATATACAACCACATGGTGTAGATACTACGGCTGGTACAGATTGACCTCAATATTCACCGCTAGTCAGTATACGCAACTATTATTATTTTATCGTATTTCTGTATTTATTGACGACCGCTTTGGACGAAATAACCACTCGCGCATTTCATACATTTCATCATACTTGTCGTCAGCCTACTTCCAAATATTTATCCGAAATGGCAACTGTTCGGGTGAAGCACAATAGATTGTCGCCAGCAAAAGTCTAAACTCCAAAATGACAATGTATTTTATACGGAGATAAGATACGGAGTTTAGTATTTTTCTTAAACGCGACAATTTATCGTTGTCATTTTATTATTGTGGGAAAACAAATAATTGTTTTTTTCTTCGCCTGTGTTATCGTTTATTTAATTGGAATTAACAAATCGAACTAATCCATATGGTCGATCGCATTCAAACTATTCGATAGATTGAAAACTATTCGGCTATAGGAAAAAGAAACTATTCGAATAATTTTCCGAATGAAAATATTCGCTCGTGGGGAAAAAATATTCAATAGTTTGTCTGTAAACTACACCGAAAACTATCGATGTTAGTGTAAACTGTTCAGAAGTGTCGTCCCATCACCAAAAACCATCATGAAAATATGATATAGGTACGAGGTAAAAAGCATCTCCGAGCCCATAATACAAACCATTGTTTTTTTATTGATAAAAAAATAAATCACCGATTTTTATACTGTGAAAAGTGTAAACAATGTTTTAATTTTGTTTTTTTACTTTTCGGTACAATACAATACAAATACATACATAATAATATCATATAAAATAACACAATAGGGAAATCTCAAGGTTCTCAAGGACAAGGTCTTGAACTACAATATATATGATATAGCTGCAACAGCCGCGTGTTGTAGATTTACAATATTAAAAATCTTCGTGGTTTTTTTACAACGCGTAATATGTTTACGTACGGTACACACACGTAAAAAATAATAATATATAATTTACGTCGATTATAACGGTTCACGATGTTAACCTAGACACACATACATACTAATAATTGTATTAATCGCAGTGTAATGGTAGGTTTTTGTGTAAATAATTTTGCCAATAAATATATCATATTATATACCGATTATCGGTAACCGATTTAAAATCGCGTTCGTCTTATGTTGGATTTATTTTACGATTAATTATAACGACAAAAAAAAAACTGTTCTCGACGGTGAACAATAATTCGTATGTTTAAAATTCATTGTTACTGTAGGTTTTACTATTATTTTTTTAATAGGCCGTAACAAGCCGTTTAGTTTCTCTGGGTATGACATAACAAAAAGGTATATCGTTGGAATGAACTGATCCGTGTACGGTAAGTACAAGGAGAAAGGAATTTTATTTAGGACAAAAAAAAAAAAAGGTTAATACTAATATTAAATGTGAATCACTTCAGAGGTTCGTCATAAATGTCAAATTTAATTATTTACCTGTATTGGTTATGCAAATGTAAATACAAGTATAGATAAATATTAGTTTGAAAAAAAAAAATTACATAAGAAATCAAATCCCAACAGATATACGCAAACCGTTTTTCGAGGATATGTATACCTACAACGCGTGTTTATAAATATAATATTGCGAAATCGCTAAATTCAATATCAATACGTTGTGTAAACTTCACAAAACACGCGTGTTGCAGAGTAGAAAGTAAAACAAAAACAAATTTTAATTTCGAATCGATTAACATAAGTAATATATTGTTTCTATTTTAATTTTATCTACGTATACTTAGAGAAGAAATCAGTGGTCTACAGATGGTGTCTGTAAACAAAAAAAAAAAAAAGAAAAATCGAATACAATGTTTAATAGTTAAGACACGGGTGGGTAGATCGTACGAACAGTACGTTTCTCTCTATGGGTGACATCTGTCGCAGCGAACACATAAACTCGTCAGACTATTAGAGACCCGGAATATTGTTTAAATGTTCGATACAAGTGTGTCCGCTACGAGATAAAATCGTTGATTATTTTAGACGACCCAGAGGTAGCGATTTGTGTACAGAATAGAAATTGTGACAGTTTTTACTTTGAGGAAAGCGTTTTTTTGTTTTCATTTTCACCGTGAATATCAAATAGACTACAGCACTGTATTGTATGTCCGTCGTACATCTTTCTCCTGTCGTTTTTTGACATTTCTAGCGACTTCGTCGCGACCAAATAAGGTCTGACTACCCCTATTATAGTCATTATTGGTATATCTCAGATACAAGTGACGTGAAAACATCAATTTAAAAAAAAAAATTGTTTTTTTGCTACCCCCCTTTTAATGACGTCCTAGACTGTAACCTATTTAGCCTAGTGGTTAATCAGGCCCTGACTAGGTTATGTATTGTTTTTCAAAGAATATTCCTATTATACGAAATAAGTGGTAGCCAATTCAACTCTATATTAACGGAGTTCTGCAGCTCAAGAGTTTTTTTTTTTATTTTCATCAATACGACATCACAAAGACGAATTTCGTAAAATATACGAAATACTTTGGACAATACGCGAAGTGGTATTTAATTCCACCAACTTTCCATGAAACGTAATATCACCTAAATTTTTATATTATTCAACATGAAATCGATATCGTATCTAGGTGTACGTAATAAAAATATGTCCATATCTGCAACAGTGATTATAAACACTGCAATGATTGTGACGTATATAATAAAATATAATGAGTAATATGAGTATGTGACTGGCAAATAAAAGTTATAACTATAATATACTATATCGCATCAGACTCGTGTGAAAATTGTGTTCGGCGAATAGCCTGTGGGTATTAAATTGTTATAAAATTGTTCAATTAATAAATACCGTTTTCAGAAAGAAAAAAAAAACAGTAAAATTACTGTTCGTAAATAATGTTACACAATATTTTAAACTTTTATAAAATATCTGAAATACTAAATAGTTAGGCAACATTGCAATTAAATCGAAAATATTTTGAACATGCGTCTACTCATATTAAAGATTAATAATCGGAAATATTGAATTAAAACTAAAAAACCAAAGTCGAAACTAATAAAACCGTTATTTTCGTAAACATACTCCTGTTTGACCTTAATTATTTAGAAAACTACAAGGAAAATAAAAAAAAATGACCGTCAATCACGTCAAAAAATTTTTTTTTCAGAAAGATGCTACACTTGAAAATCTGAGCAATATTTCTGACAGAAAAGTTGTTAATAATCAAAAATAAAAAAGTAAAAATACACACACATTATCATCGGAGTAAAACCAAAAAAACTTACACAGTGTAGTTGTGATATGCAACAACCGATCAGTTTCATGAAAATATTATATTTTAGGTTACGACGTTTGCGTATCTATGATAAGGTAAAACACGTATAACGATGCGATTTTGTAAACTCGAAGAACGGGAATGAATTCATATATTATAATATTATTATCGACATTATTATATTAAATAAATATTAACCATTCAAAGTGAGTACAATATTATTATGATATACGTATATACATATTGAGAACGACCTTCAAGTGTATAAGTAAATGTTTTTTTGTTTTTTTTTTTTTTCATAAATATCCCTGGCCCAGAGTGTTCCAAGATGTTGTAATGCAATACAAATATACGTATACTAAATACGATATACGAATATATATTATAAAAATATAATGTTTTAAAAATACTTGTCGAGAGCTGCAGCTATAGGCAATATTATTAAATTATTTGCTCGTCGTGTCTCGATCCCGAGGACGCACGCGCTCGTCGAATCGTCAAGTCGAAACCTTGAGGAAAAAGCGCCCAAGGTCAAACGACGCGTACAATTATTATACAAAGTTAATAATCAATCCTTTTGGGGGGTTGTCTGTATGTGTATACATAGAAGCAGTGGGCAAAGCGGAAAAAACTTTGAGGAAGGACTATATATTTATCGAAAATTGAGAGGCATTCGCGAGAAATTAGCCCAACCAAACTTACAGGAAACTCATGATCATGAAGACAAGACTTCTAAATATTTTTTTCCTTCATGAATTTGTTTAAAAAAATTGTGTGCTTATAGGATTTAAAAATAAACTATACCCTCCCCTCAAATATTATCTTATACATATGCCTGTTCAATGCTCAGTAAAAATTAAGTAAAACAGAGTCTAATTACGCATAACCCAATGGTATCGGCAAGAAGACTTAAACTAAAGGGTGCGTATTATTTTTTCTTAAATAAGCAGAGGAATTCCGTCATCCCTTCCATTTTAACCGTTGTGAGTAGGTACTCTGCAGACTCTATAATAATAATAATAATATAATACGAGAAAATGAAACGCGTTTCGAGGTTTTTATGTGGTTTCTGCGAAAGGGGGAAAAAACTGCACGTGCATTTTCATTGCAGTGCAGAAAATCGAATCCGACAATGAATAGTTACTACGAAGTACAACAATAAAATAACAATAAACATTTTTATTCAACCATAAGCTACTCCGCTCCACTCAGAATCTAAAAATCTATTATAATATTATTATGACACGATTATTTAAACGTGAATTCTGCGGGATAGAATAAAAACAAGCGTCATGCACCATAAAAAATCCGTCGGTTTTATGTGCAATAGGTAATGTAATTAATATTCTGCAGTTGAGTACATCGCGTTTAAGTTGTTCAACAGCAGCAGGGGATAGCTATCTCAATGGTATTTTCAAAAGACGGATGAACTACAATATTATGTACCTGTACATAAAGAAGACAAAAATAGTCAAAAATGTATTTAAAATATACTTCACCATATGAAAATTTACTATCGATAAAGAATAATATAAGGGAAAAATAGCAAGCCACAAAAGACCACCACCGTCTTTCGATCGCGTCAGTCAAATAACAATAAAAGATAAACTGATAAATTGATTGCGGGTCGTATATTGTTGTGAATTAAAAATGAAAGTGGAAAATCGTTTGATTTTCTACATGACAGATGAATAACCGAGAACTGATGAGTGATGAGTGATAAATAAAACCCGACTCACGTTAGGTAATGTCATATTTGTTCGCCGTTGAGTGTCATTAGATCTCTGCTCTATTATAAGCTCGCACAGTTTATATTTTAGACCCGTAGCGGAAAGCCATAGGAGTTACGGGATACGACGAGATTTAGAATATAAAATCCAAGCAGTAATACTTAGGCACGTAGTAAATAATACTCACGAGTCATGAATACATCATAAAATCGTCTTTTGTTACACCTAACCCAGTGGTTCTCAACGGGGAGCTTTGAATGAGTACTAAGGGACGATAAATTTATTTTTGGTATTAGGGGCGGTAAACCGTATGGGGTGTTCTTATATCATGGTGCTCGAAACGATAAAGATATATAATAATGAAATGTTTAAGCATTAAATTTTCATTCATGGATAACATCCGGTATCGTTAGGATATAGGGTTTTCCCGAATACGTAGGAAATGGGCAGTTCCAAATTCGAATCCCACAAATTCTCGAAAAGTGTTTGCATTTCGTTTACCGTGAAACATAACATACGTAACGGTTATTATACGCGAACATTTGTACCCGAAATACGTCACGGTTAGGTAAAATTTCGGTCCCTTTTCAAAATATGACCACAGTTCAGTGTGAATTAGATTTTCACCAGGTACTACGAAACCGAATGTAACTGATTGGCGAACACATTTGCTGAGCCGAAAATGCTATCCGGCCGGCGGCAGGGGCTCAAACTCAGTGCAGAATAAAGCCGAGATTAAGAAGAAGAAGAAGAAGAAAAAGATAGCCGATAGTAATTCACCTTTACTTGGCTGTTGGTTCGTTGGTGGACGACGGACGGCGACACCATGTAACCCTCCACGACCATAGACTGTTTGGCGAACATGCAATAGTCCGCCGACGTGGAATCCATCATTTTGGCGGCGGTTCGGGGTCGGGTTTCCGGTGAAATTTGCGGTTGATAACGACGTTCAATTCGTACGACAATATAACCGGACGCGCGCCAAGGGGTCTCTCTTCGTCCCGCACGTATATACAAAAATTACCACGCGCCTACTACACACGCACACACACACACACACACACACACACAATGCCGTACTAGTTATGTATATAATTATTTGATTATTTTCGTAAAAAATACGGCAATGTTTTATCGTTTGTATCGTGTGTAATACGCGCGTATATTATATTATAACAGCTGATATTTTGTAATAACAGCGAATACGTCGCGGAAAACGCCACAGCCGCAGCCTAAACGTAAACGCGCCAAGAGGGCACCTGCGTTACGACTGGCGACTCGTGGAGCCGTGTGCCCGCAAGAAACCGGTACCGCGGACCGCTGAGCGAAAATAGCCGCCGCTGCCGACCACCACCACCGCGTTTACTATTGTAATAATATTATGTACACACGCACACACACACACACACACACACACACAACAAGTATTGTGTACGTATATACAGGGCGATTCATTGAGCATGCTCACCCCGTTATTATGGTCAAATTTCGCGTGTATTAAAATCAAGATTTTTTGCTGATATTTTCGAATATCTATACTATTTTTCACAGCTTTAAGCAGAATCCCGTATAATTTCTCCAACAAGAACCTATAATAAAAAGACGGACATACTTCGCACGATGAGTGGACCATTGTGGTAGATAAGAAGTTGGGAAGGTATTGGATATAAAGTGGAATTTAATGTACATCTGTTAGCAAAGATTAATCGTCGCTAACGGTAAACGATTCTGAGCGGAGCTCGGTTAATAGAATTTATTTTTCAACAATATTTTATATGTCATACTTATTATAATAAAATAAATTGAAATTGAAATTATTTGTTTGCACACGTAAATTGATCTATTCCACAAAGTTTTTACAAAAACGATTTTCATCAAAAATTGATATTAAAATTCCTATGAAGAAATATACTACGTTAAATTTAATTTTTTTTGTTTTGACCACAAAATATAACTTATATTTAACCTCCTGTTCAATTCTCAAGCATTTCTGTTTAGTCTAACAATTTTATCCACAAATTGCCTATACCAAATAAAATTTACTCACACAATTTAAATGTCTATAAATAGCTCAAATATGGCTCAATTGTTTTGAAAATATTACCATGTTTAGAAAAGGCAAATATAAGTTTTCTGCTAAATTTTAAGTCTCTTCGAATATTTTTAACTGAATTACAACAAATACTAAAATTGATATTGTTTTCATAAATGTCTAGATTTTCTTACGTTTTATCCCGGTTTTTCATAAATATTATGAAAACCGCTTTCAAAATTTTTCAGAAAAATCATCTAATTTATGATTTACATTAACACATGCTGGTTCTAATTTGAAAAACCTGATCGGTATCACTACAGTCTACTCTGTGGACTCTACAGGGTACTTATTAAATGTTGAGAAAAATCTTCCACTTAAAAGTTCCAAAAATCAGAATTTGAACACGTGCAAAATATAACGACAAAAATGGGGTGTACATGCTTAATAGATCACTCTGTATATAAACATAATGTACTAATCTGTGTGTATGTACGAGTATACGTATATACGTATAAGTATCGTACGACGTCGTTTTAATAATTTTGTTGTTGTTGCCCGACAATCGGCACAGTGGTGGAACGTTCGTTCACCTTGACGCCGCCGCCGCTGCCACCGCTGTTTCATAATATTATCGTTCCGAATGTAAACTTTTGAGCTACGGCGGCGGTGTCCGTCTGAAAAGGACTGTGCTGCAGTATATTTCAATTAGGAATGTAAATAGTCGAATTGCACTTATTTTACCTAAATTAAAATGGTCGAACTGCACTTTGGTCGGGAGAGGTGATATTTTGAAGAAAGATAAAAAAAACTTAACTTGAACGTTTTGATAACACTAATACGTACCCTACTATAAAAATCTTCTGTATAGAAATTACCAATTTAAAGTAGGTGAGAAAATGAGACTAGGATACGTCCAGTTATTCAACATCTACCTGTACGTAAAAATAAATTGTTGCTAAAGAATTCGATTCTAAATGGAGTTCACAGTTAAACGTGCCGTGTTTTGAATGCCGTGATTTTTACGTTTGTCATTAAAATTTGAACTTCAAATGCTTATAGAAAAAAATAATGGCTTAAAAGCCATTTCCTATAGATTCTGTTAATAATGAAAATAAATAAAAATACTGCAAAAAATAATTTCATTAAATAATAATAATACAGTAAACCGATCTATAACGAAATCGCTTGGGAACAACGAATTTATCGTTAAAGTTTTCTGTTATAAATAAAAAGTAAAAATATTAGAAATATTTCAACTGGAGCCCGTTGTATAGAGACTTAACTATTATAACTGTGTATATTATATTAAAAAAGGCATTTTTAGCTGCGCCAATGATTTAATTGTAAATATGAAGGAAAATTAATAAGACTTTAAATTAAGTTGTTTTTTTTTTTTTTTGAACATATTTGTTAAAACATCTTTTTTGATCCAAACACAGTTCGACCACTACGTTTTTGTAGCCGTCCGATTTCGTTTAATTCGTCAAAAATAAATTAAATTCGATTTAACGCAATGGAATACTGAGCTCATATCCCAAAAAATATTCAAACAGGTCTTATGGTATCAGCAAAAACGACCCGAAAATGGTAAAGGCAAATAAAAGTTTCACCATTTCTATATGGTATGTATGATATGCTTGGAAGCAGCTACTCAAATTTTTACCATGAAAAATACCAAAGTAGACTATATGGAATTGTAATTACAGCATTTCAATATTTTTATAGTGCCATAAGAACTACCTATGATGAAATGATGAACCGTACGACAAATGTTCAATCATTTTCGAAAAGCCAAATAAATTGGATTTGCATATAAAACCGAATAAAAACTAAAAAAAACTGGACAGTTTTAAACGGCTATAAATAATAAATAGTTCAAACATCACCGGATTGTCATGAACATTGTGACACGTCAAGAAAAGGCTAGTATATATTAATATTCGCCGAAAGTGAATTGCAACAAAACAAAATAAAATCGATAATAACTGAAACCATCGTGTAGATTTTCACGTTATTCCAACGTTGTTTTCCCTATTATTAAGAAAAACTACAAGTAAAATAGAAATGGTGTGACTCATTCAATGCACCAACTAGACGAAATTTTCTACTAAAAAACACCTGGTGTTCATGATTGGAGAGAAATTTCCGCTCGAAAACTCATTAGCAAACAGAAAAAATATACACATCATATAGTAAAATCAATGAATTTTGTCGCTACGTTCAGAATTTATAAATTCAATTAATAATAATTAGAAAGATTTACAATAATAGTTGGTATGAAGAATACCTAAATCAGTAAAACGCTGATACCAATATTCATAAGTCCAACTAGACCACCACATGCCTCCACGATTCCTTTTAAACGACACTTATAATAAGCAACTCTACACATTTCATTTACAATTTGTATACAAAAATATATCATTACTTTTATACTTTTTTTTAATTTTTGTACACACATGTCGGTAGCTAATTTGGATTCGTTCTGCTTATTAATTATGAAATATATGAATAAAATATTTATACCCTTACCAATCTGTATTATTATTTTTTTTTTATTCACAATTTTTTTTACAAACAAATGCATTACACATTTTAATGAATGCATTCCACGTTCGCATTCATTATGAAAATAAAACACGATGAATGGAAATGCATTCCTTTGCATTCCACACTGATTTAAGTAAAAAAACAGTTACTTGAACAGTAACAGTATGAACGTCCAAAAACATCAGTATTGAAATTATAATATATAGGAATATGACTTTGTAATACTCGCCCGGTTTAATAATTATTTTTTTTACAATTTTTATCACCAAATCAACCAATAATAGATCTAACTATATCTAAGATCTCCCAAGTCTCATGTTTATTTACGTGACTATATAATTAGGTAGGCTACACTAGATACCTGGATATTATATGTAATAGAAACAAAATAAATTAGTGTATTGTGTTTTTTTTTTTTTCGGGAAAATTATTTTTAAATTATATTTTGTTGTCATAGATATCCATTATATTGCCAGTACGATTTTTTTATTATTATTATTATTATTTAAGGCTTTGATTCGTTTAGACCTTCGAGTTTGGATCAACAACGAGCGAATTTAATTTAAAACTAAGATTCGAAAAAAAAATTGTTTCAACTATCATCCACTCAGCATGACGCAAAGTAAATTGTAAATGGCATAAGTATACATACAATTATTTTACGCTACAATAAAAAAAATAATAATAATAGTAATATATTCTATTAAAGTTGATAATAGCAAAACGTCAACGTACGTCGTTTACGTTTTTTTTATTATTATAGCTAATTGCAGAGGTCAAATTAAAAAAAAAAAAAAGAAAGAGATGCGAAGAATAACAAATAATACACATTCCAATGGAAAAAAATCATTTTGGAAACTGGTATCAGACACTAATAATTCTCTTACGTGTCATGATTACTAAGTTCAAAACTGTGACGTCATGGAATACACGAGCGAATGCGAGAGCAACATAAAAACAGGCGTGATGAATTATTTGTACGACTCGTTTTGTAAATTGTGTTAAACATTATTTATACATTTTGGGTACCTATTTATTATTTCGATTTATTATTCCAATTCGATTGGCCTGTAATTTTTGCGGAGGACAATTTAACTACCTATTGTCTTGTAATGTTATAATAATCTCATTAGAAGTAAGTAATTACGTCAGTGGCGTGAACCAATTTTTTTATCGGACAGAGCCGATAATGAATCACTGTATCAATGATATCCATACACCCGGGTAAATTTTATGCAGGAACATTTTATATCGGTTTAACAGTAATGAAGAAAAAAATTAAATCGGTTAACACGGAGAAAACAAAAAACATTCAACCTAAGTTATTATTATTATTATTTTCATTCCTTAAGACTGCTGTTAAATTTCCCCAAACTCGCGATAGCACTCATGCAGTGTCGTAGCCAGCCCGTAGGCCATGGCTTATTCACTATTCTTCAAAAATTAACGTTAAACAAACTGCCATACTATATATAGCATTCATACGTGAATTCGTTATGCTTTGTTAACTCTAAACAACGAAAAATTGTTAAAACTGTACGTAAAAGTATTTTAAAAACTAAAATATGGATGCAATTGTTGTTTATTGATTAGAGTTCTAATGCATATTCCATACCTACAGTTTAACACGTAATTTGCTTATTTTCAATTCGTTAATTATTATTTTCTGATAATGAAATATTTTAAGTCAAAAAAGTTTATTATAGTAGAGAGTCTTTCCCAACCAGACATATCGGGCCAGAAAAAAAATGTCTATC